ATGAATGTATGTTTCTCTCTTTGTGAAAAAACAACGGTACCTGGAGACATCATATTTTGAATAACGCAGTTCTCCATTCGAATATGGGCATCTAGAAGCCCAAATTTGAAATTTGTTTTGTTATCTATTTTATATTTTGTAAAACGCTAAAGAATGTTTGATTAAGAGACTCAAGGATTTCAAAGCGAGCAAAGGCAACGCTGTACAGAAAAAAACATTTTTATCTCCAGCGCGCGAGACTGTGTATCGGAAATGGCAAAACTGTACAGGGGAAAATTCTAAAGATATGCTCTTTTTAAATTATTTTGTGATATCACTGTTGAACTGAATTTTATGGTTTAAGTACGAAGAACATGATATTTAATAAAGAAAGGTAACACACAAAACGTTAAAAAACGACGATTGAAATTACGACAAAAAGAATATACATTTTTTATTTTTTTGTTAGAAACATTTACAACAAATTGCGTTCCAGTTGTACATTTAGGAATTTAACCAAGGCTTATATTTAAATTGTTTAAAAATTTAAATGTAGATAACATTAAACTGGTTTGATTGCATAAAATTTCTTGTCGCTTTCTTTTCGGGTATGGGGGGGGGAGATTCGTTCTCGATCATAATTTTCAGCGAACAGATATAAGGTTTTTAGCATTTTTATGAAGATACTTAATCTAGTTTTGCCATTCATATTTTGAAAAATTATGCACATATACATATACAAATGTTGCGAAAATGGAGAAATCGCATACAGAAATACTAAAAACATAAACAGTTTCCGTTCAAACAACCTCATTTGAATTTTCATGCATCGGAAACTTTACTTTAAGCAGTTCTGCCGGATTACAGTGGTGTTAGCTTAAGAAATTTAACAATGATTTCTTGTAATCGACATAACAATAGCAATGTAACCGATATAACACGAGATGTGAATGTAATCGAGAAATGTAATCTATATAACAATAGCAAATCGGAAGCTCTGAGAGTCCTAGTAGTAAAAAGAACTTAATGCAATTAAGAGATATGCAGTTTTAACAAAATTACCTACCACTTATTCATATATTCACTTATATCAGTAATATATGCTAAAGTATTTAGTTAGTTTTTTTAAGTATAGTTTCCGATTTTTATCTCTCGTTTTGAATTTGTTTTCACATTTTGTTCAAGTACACGCAAGTTCTGAAGCTGAGTTGCGTTGCCATTTCTTTAAACCTAAAATACTGAATTTTATAAAAAAATTACAAACTCTTTTATAATTATTGAAAGAGTTTGGAATGAGAAGAGCTATTGGACTTTTCAAGGCTAGAATAAATCAGAAATATGTAACTGTTTCTTTATATCCTTAATGAAAGAGAGCGCTCGATAAAGTTCCTTTGGTCCCTACTCAAGTCTAAATAGAAGCACGAGATATGAAAAATGCGCAATGCCCTCGTCAGGACTCGAACCCTGGACCTCTCGTATCCGCGTCGAGTACGCTTCCAATTACACCACGAAAGCATGCGGAAAGGAAGGAGAAAATACCTTATGTACTTCCTCCTTTAAAGAGCGACTGAGGATTAGGGGATTCAGTCTCCAAATCCCGGTGGTGACAAATTATCGTCCATCACCTTTTAGTTCGGGTGCCACTTGTAATGTCTAGTATTTTTCGCTAGTAAACACTTCTACTACATCTACTTGAAAGTCTTAGCGACTTAGTACTAAGACTACAGCGAGGTACGAGACGAGTTAGTACAGGACGAATACAACGAGGGAAGGGTTGGCACAATCTTTGTGCCTAAATCCACCATCCACTTATGGCGATACTTACACTTATGGCCACGAACTAAAGATAATGGCAAATTAAAATAAATTTAAAGATAAGCTGGTAGTTCAAGTTTACAAAAATTAATTTAACATAGCAGATTGACTCAGAAATCCACACTGGTGTGATATTAACTTCGGTAACAAGAATGTGAAGCCGAGATTCGGAATTCATACAACTGGTAGAAACAACAACTTGCACATTTAATAGTGACAACCTTTTTGTACGGCAGTTTAAATATACTCTCATTCTCGATAACTCATTTACATCCTGGCGAGGAATAGAGAGAGAAACAAGAAAAGATAGAAAAAGGCTAATAAATTAAAATAACTATTAGTAAAATGATATAAATCTCCTCTTGTTATCCTCTCTATATTATTAAACATCTCTACAATTTAGAATTAACTTTTATAAATTGATCACTACATATATACCTAATGTGCACTGAAAGGTTTGTAGTAAGTTGTCATTGACCCATCTTCTTTATAATATAATTCATCATTAAATTTACTAAAAATGTCCCTTAAACGTTTTGTGGGAATTTACTCTAGATTTAACAACGTATGCCGTTCAATAGTGCTATATTAAAGGGCCGAAATCTTGTTTCAACGAATTCAATGCTTCTTTTTATTTTAGCGCTGAATTAATTCTTCTTGAATATTTTTTGCCAATACTGCAATATTATGCGTATTAAGAGAAAACGCAGCTTTTAAGTGCTGTATACTTATTTTCAACAAAAGAGATTTATGCTTCAAAATACTGAATAAGAACTGAGTTAATTAAATATTTTCTCTTTTTATTTGGCATAAAAATGTTGTAGATAGTTTGACTCTTAATTTATATTTTACGCACATTGTGGTTACTTTATTTTAAATGGGCTCTATAAAAATATGCTAGAAAGATCTATGAATAGAGTTATCACTATTTCTAACTGCAAACAGGTATATATATATGCATTTAATACTGCTGGAATTTAAAGCTTAAAAGTATTCACCTGTATTACATCTGTAACGGCATAATATCTATCGAAACAGACAGTTGTTAGTGAAGACAATAACTCAACATTTCTGAAGATATCGCACGAAATCGATTTTAAATCTTACGATATAAAAATTAATTCGAAATTACTTTGAAATCAAGCTACAAGAAGCAAGAACTGCGAGGGTAAAAACTTTTAAACATTTGACAAACTGAAATTATAAAGTATCTTTTAACGAAATCTTTGTAATTATTAGTATTACTCATTAAACTCGAAAAGATAATAGATAGATTTAGAATATTTATTTTGTTCGATATTTCACGATGTTATATCAATAAACTAACATAAGCAATGATTTCAAAATTTTAAGAACCATTTCCATGCATTGAATAACATTATCTGCAATGTATATGTAATAGCATAACATACAAATAAGAATTGATCGTAATTGCGTTAACAGAAAGGAGCCACACGTCACTTTAAGGCATGATGTAACTGATGGTTTGTACAGTTCTTCAAGGACCAGTTTGTTCACAGAATATGTAATACTGAAAATCATTATACTGCATAGGGAGATATTAAATTCCCAGACAGAAGGCTTCTTCGTTCTGCGATATAGAAATATTCTAAATGGCTCATATCAGAGGTGATGAAATTGAAAAAAAAATAGGGTTAAAAATCTGTGGTATATTCATCGAACTAAACCAAAACCTGGTAACACTTCGTATTATCTTGCTGGAACATTTGAAATGTCCTATCATCTTCCCGTAAAAGTTATGGAAAAATGCAGGTTTCCGACAAGAACGGCCACTTCACCGACATTTTTAAGTAATTTCTTCAACATGATGAGAGAGTTCATCTAGATCGTATGGAAACGGTCTACACCAGCATTTAGACGCTGGACAGGACAGACAAGAGAAGTCGGTAGCCGAGGTTTATTCCTCATTTTGACGTGTTTGTCAGAAAGAAGCAAATGAAATCGTAATTCATCGGAGCAGGTTATCTGACTCCACTATTCAAAGTCCAGTTCCGACGTCTTTGGAATTTGAATTTAGTTGTAGAAGTTAGACAGAAAGAATAAACAATGAAAAACTAGATCTTCCGCTACCCAAATCCACTGATCCTTACGTATTTTAGAAATATTCTACGTTCAACGCGCATTGAAAGGCTATATAGTGCTTTAGTTCAATATACTTTGCCTCTTGATACCGTTTTCAGCAGCTGAGAACAGACAAGCTATGAGCTTAACCCTTTTCTGGTTTTACGTATACGGAAATGCACTCAATATAATAGTCACAGTAAATTTCTGAGAAACCTTGCTTGAAAAAACAGAATTCCTGCGCAGTCTTTAACTGTTGAATAACCCATGTCTTTGTGATTTATCATATCATATTCAGGGATAGATAATACGGAAGTACTGCTATGCTGAATAGGAAATTTACTGAAACGAATATTAGTTTGTAAGCTATAAAAATGCTTTCATTCGATTGATATCTAGCACATCCATTAGGTGTAAAAAACACTCGCTTTACTTTAGCTGCTATACTTACAACTTTTGTTCTGACAGTATTTAATTACGCCAAAGACTGCAGTGAACAAAGGCAGTTACAATGATTACGCAAATTTGCAGAGTAAATTTCTGTATATGGTTGCGTTTCAACTCCAGTTTTACATCTTTATCAAATACGTATTTATTTTTTAATTTTTAATGCAATACAGATTAAACAAAGAAAATAACTACATAATTCCTTCAAATTATAAATAATGTTTTTCGGAAACCCGAGTAACTACTTTTATGTATGCGTGATTCCTCGTTCAAGACAATACGTAATTAAAATGTGCATCATGAATTGCTTACGATTCATTTCCGATTGAACGAAATGTTACAACGTTCCTTAAACAAATACAAAAATTATTGTACAGTATTTCGGAACTTAATATTTAATGAGGAAATTACTGCCAAAAACATATTTCTAAAGTAATATCTGCATGTTACATCATCGAAATCTTAATTCAAATTTGACTCTCTTCCTTTTTATAAATCACTAGTCGATGATTTCTAACTCGTTCACGCGCTGTTGGTTACATCGTCTGCACGGGTCACTTGCTTCAAACGTTCGATTGAAGTGTTTTGTTTTGTTTTGTTTTTTGCTTTTGCTTTTAAACGAAAAGGGAAAGGCATCGAAAAGAAAATTCAGATCATTGTACCAGTGAGCTAGTAATGTTCGATTCAGCCGCGATTAATTCTAAGACCACTTTGCAGAGATGAGTTTAGTTGCCGTTAGTAGCAGTCCTGCCTCTACCAGTGGATACTTCGGTCAAGCTGGAGTGTATTATGATGCAGGTTCACTTCCAGGTCTGTGTTTTAATTTAGATTTTTATAATTTGTGCTAAAATTATACATTTGAACGACAGAAAGTTTCATTCCGTATGAAAAACTTTGTATTCTGGAAATTAATTAATAGGTACTAATGATTAAAATTTTCGAAATTAAAATTTGCTTTACATTCCAATATACTTTAAGCACATGATGTAGAAAATTTTTAGTGAAAAAATAACAATAATATTCTGATTTTAATTGCTGTTTTTAATTAATAATTTGGAAGGGCAAAGAAATATTGCTATTAAGGGAAGTGCTAAACTTTGAACACTCCGATTTCTGCCCAGAGTTCACGAAATTACAGGGAATCTTAACAGGAATATATTTGCTGAAGAGTAAAGTGAAATTTCTCTGAATTAAACACGAAAATCTAATTTTAAGCTCTGAGAATGAAATCAATTTTAGACATAAAAACATATTATAATCGGATAAGTTGTTACAGATCAGGGAAGAATTAAAATTTCGGAAAAAAAAAAAAAAAAAAAAAAAAGCGCATGGCAGCCTAAAAGTGAAAAGTAAAAAATTAAAAAATCAAGACCCTTGAGCAAAATTACAAATGATAAATATTAATCCCGAAATCTGAAGCCGAAAGTAAACGATATTCTAATCACCTACTGCCAGATTTAATCGAAAATTCCAAGCTGAAAACATTACTTATTAATTACAGCCTTTTTAATAGCTGTTGCTTCTTATCAGACTGATAATTTAGTTCTGTTTAAATCAGAACTTACAGTTTGGCTTGGATTAAATTATTAAAACAAACGTAATAGTAAGTCTTATATTAATTAGTTCAGTGATAATAATCAGCAATGTAAAATAATAATAATTGATTAGAATATTCTTTTTATGATATTTTAATATGAAGACGTAATTAATCAAATAAAGTAAATAAAACGATAAAGTTAGTAATTATAAATTATTTTATAAAACATACTACTTTTAAAATTCTTTAAAAATAATGTTTAGTTTTATGTTTCTTAGTGGCGTCGTGTACCCTTCCCGCAGCGTTTTGCAATCGCCTACCATCAAAATGTTGGTAGGTGTAGCTATAAGCAGAGTGTTATTTGGTATTCGAAAATGCTATTTTAACGGCATCTTGGGTGTAAGCATATGGAATTTTACATGAACTTTCTCTGCGTTTGATACAGTACTGAAAGTTTAAGCTATGCATTATAATCACAGGTTCGCTTCATATAATGCGTAATCTCCTAATATCATCTGGTATACATTGTATAATCAAGGATTTAATTCATTGATAATTGATTCGAAATTATCAATTTGAAGAAAATATTGCTCTGCAGAGAGATGCGTAAACAAATCACACTCCTCTCCTTTAGATGTTGAATTTAATTTTAGAAATAACTTTCATTTTCAATGAACTTGCCCCTTAATAGTAATAAGCTGAGTAGGTAATTGCAATTCAAAGGTAAGTATGTATAAAATTTAAGCTGTTTATGCTTGTTCGCTCAAAGAATCCGTTCCGCTTAAATTCTAGCTATTTGCAATGAAATCATTGCTTCTGATCCCATTAAAGGGAAAAGAACAAGATTCAGATGACTGAAGGTAACACGCTTGAACAGATTTTTGCCATACGTTTCGTTCCTTTAGATTAATTAAAAAAATTACATTAAAAAATTGAAAGGGTTTTCAAAAGTCTGTTCGAGGGTCTGAAATAACATGGGACAATATTGCATTCCTTGTCGTCTGTACGAGAAAGTGGTAAGCGACTCTGACTGCCGTATCGAAGGAGACAGGATCGAATCCCGAAGAAGGCTTGGATGTGATTTGTCTGTCCCTTCACAAGTGGCAACGGTGGCCCATCTGTTAGGGGTTTCCATAATAAAGAGATCATCGCTTCCGACCTTAGTAGTGACCATTGCCTACAAACGGCTAGAGCCCACCACTGGAGAAAAAATATTACTGAAAATTTATCTGAAAAGCCTGAAAAATAATTAATAAAAATAATTTGTTTATAAATATTTCTAAATGATAATTTTGCCAGGTAAAGGGTTAAAAAAATATTTACTCCTACGTGGAAAGCGGAATAACAGACGCATTTGTTTCTAATTGAAGGGGCTTGATTTCTGATGATATTTATCCCAATGATTTTGGAAATAACAGATTTTCAGATTATCTGTTTTACATTGGCATTATTTTGTCGTAAAATGAGGCTTAATGATTTGTTGTCGGTTTGATTAGATCAATTTGTATGATGCCTTCTGAAAGCACAACAAAAGTGTCTATGACTGGAATATACACGCATAAAACTAAATTCATTGATAAAAGAAATAAATTACATGCAAAAATGATATGCATCTTGTCTAAGTTACTATGTACTGGACAGCAGATGATGTGTTGAAACTTGATAAATATTAAATACAGTTAAGTTTGTAGGGTTTATGTTTATTTTAACTAACATTTATTTTAAGTTTAAACTATCTTTCCTGTCAAGCCTTACTTTCCCCTGGAACTGCCAATGCCAGAGTATGTAAATTTTAGTAGAACGCGCAAGGATTCAAACTATCAGCGGAAGTATTCTGAGTTAAATAGAAAGGAAACGAGTTCGAAGTGTGCTTTTCTTACTTCACGAGCGTGGAGGTAGTTAGTCAGAAATTGAAGAACCACGCGTTTCGGCCTGTGTGCTTGCCTCGGCAAATTGTTAATCTTTCAACGTAATACTCAGAGTTTGCTGAATTATCAGCGGTATTGTAGAACGCGGTGAGGTCAGTTACGTTTAGAGAGCCTCGTAATTAGTCTCTTGTTAGTATCTCTTTTTTAGTTTCTTATTTTTATTTTACCGCCGGGTCGGCGTAGTTTGTGAGCGTCAAGAGCACGCATTTGTAACTTCTAAAGTTGAAAGTTGAATAAAAAAGGGACTTAAACCCTTCTCAAGACTCTGTCTAATTTCCAGTCAGCAGTCACCACTTTGTTGCGTGCAGGTTGGAGGCGCACAACTTTGCAAGTTGAAGAAAAATCTCAGTTTCTTATTGAATAAAGATAAAAAGCTGCAATGAATTCCCATAAGATGCAGATTATACGAAGAGAGTTTCAACATCCTAGAAGTTAAGATATCTAGTGTTATAAGATGGTTTTGACTGTAGAATTTTATTGTACACAGTAAAGGAAGTACTGTAATCGCGAAAAATGTTTGGTATCATATTTCAACGAAAATATCCATTTTGACAGTTCTTAAAATCCATACCTACGTATCTCACATAATTAAAAAATGAGTATCTCTTTAAAATTTTGTATATGAACTAATATAACATATAGTTCTGCATCTCATTTTCTCGTTGCAATCGGCCATATCAAACGTATATACCGTTTAATGTAGTGAATTAAATCAGTTGGTGCACCAACTTCAGTGTTTTTTTCCCAATGTGACCGAAAGTAAACTTTTAATTTTGTGCACTGAAAATTTTGTCTTCCTACTTGCTGGCCGTATGGCTTGTTTTTGAGTAGAAACTCTAATTTTAATTGTAAAAATTGTTTTTTTAACCTGTTGTTAACTTTGGTGTTTTATGTTTTTCTGTATTTGAAAATTTTTAATGAAGATTGATGTTTTATGTTTTTTTTTTTTTTTTTTTTTTTTTTTTTTTGCCTTTCCGCGAAGTGAGAACTGAGTCAATTGAATGAGAAATATATCTGTAATTAAATCTGAGGAAATAAGTTTAAATGAATTGCATCAAAAAATTTGTATAATTTAATAGGCCGTACAAGGAAGTCGGGTGGTGTCCACATCATATAGTTGTTTCTTTGTAAGCAAAAAATCATCTGTGTTTTTTTATGTTAGAACAAATAAAAGGAGCTTTGAAAAAAGCTTTAATTGCATCAATTTGAAGTATTTTGTGCTAGAATGTAGAAAAGGTTCCAGAAACATTTTTCTTTTCCGTTTAGCTTAGTTACATACTTACGAAGACAGCTAATCGAAGAACTAATTTATTACATCTCAGAAAGAAATTTCTTTTTTTATTACTGCTGTTCGCAGTTGAAACATATAAACAGTTTACTGTAAACACACATTACGCTTGACAAAAATGCAGTTTTCCTAGAAAAAACGGCTTTTGTATTCCAGTTTGCTTTATGCACAAACAAATGAATTAACTGCACATGTAATTGGTTTTCAAAGCGTTCTTCGTTGGAAAGTTTTAAGCAGTAACTTTCTAGTTTTATTTAATATTTGAGCTGATAATTTATTGGGAAGAAAAAATATTGCTCGCAACGGAAGTGATGGACTTTGTTCTTCCGATTCTGTCTCCCCTTAAGTTCGTAAATTTGCAGGAGACCTTAGAAGCAATGTATTTACTAAAACGTAAGACGAATTTCTTCGAAACACCCATTAAAATCGAGTTTTAAGATCTAAGCTATAAGGATTGAAATCAAAAATTTAGTCATCAGAAATGTATTATAATTGTAATATTCGAAGTATGTTGTTACAGAATAGTGAAGAATTAAACTTCTTCACTAATGTTTTGAAAAAGCCTTCTTTATGAAAAGAAACTTTTCAAAAAGTTTCTTTAAAAAAAAAAAAAAAAAAAAACTTAAAAGTGAAGCGTTTTGGCAATAAACTTATTATGATCATGATATTTTTACTGTTTCTTGCAAAAATATAAAAATGCAGATTATAAAATCAATATAAAAGTGCATAGAAATTACGCATAAGGTTTGTACAAGCTAACATATTTTCAGAAAAATTTTGAGGTATACCTAGCTTACATACAACAAGTAAAAAAATAAAAGCATTTGAATAAAAATTAAACGTTTAAACTTTTTCTGGAAGATAATACATATATGTCCAATATAACATATTCGACATATAATATACGCCCAATGTGTTATTGACATTAATTAAGGCTCAACGTCATTTAGTCTACTATGGGAATTTGAAATTTGTCACTAATGCGAAACAAGAAATTGCGGACCCTGCTGATTTGTTTTTCTGTAATTTCTTGCCTAAACAGCTAACTAAATAGCTA